AAAGTGAAATAATATATGTAAAAGTAAAAAATAAAAAGTAAAAAATCAAAAAAGTAAAATAATAAAAGTGAAAAAATAAAAAATAAAATAATAAAAGTAAAATAATATTAGAGAATTTTATTATTATTTAAATATTTTTATGTTTTTTTGATTATTTTTAAATTTGCGATTTTTATGTTACTATTATAATAATACTTATTAAAAAATGATAATTGTAATAGATATCATATAAAGTTGAATAATCTAACAAAAAAAGATATTGATAGTAATAAAAAAATATATGAAAATTTGAAAAATTCACTAAACTTGCAAAAAAACAAATCATAAGATATTATTATATAATTGTAACAGAAAGAAAATAAATTTAAATGATCTGAAAGAAACAAAGAAGTTATATTAAAATTATTATTATTATATGATTCAAAACAAATTATAAATAAGTTATATATAAAATTTTTAATTCTATTTTAAAAATAGATTCACTGCTAAGAAACTTAATATTTTTATTAACTATATCAAAATGCTTTGCATTTTTAGTATTATAATTCTTTAAAATATTCTATAATAAATAAAGAAATTATTGAGAATCTTAAATTAAAAGAGAAAAAATAGATAAATTTAATGAAGAGATAAACTACAACTACAAAGTCTACAGATTTTGAATATTTTTAAATATAAATATAAATTATATTCTCGATATAATAAAAATATTGAATTAATTTATATTGAGAAAATAAATAATTTTACTTTATTATATCGAAAATAAATTGTAATTAAGTATTAATTTCACTAATTTATTATTTGATGATATAAACTAAATTTAGATAAAATTAAAAAATATCTCAAAGTTGCTGAAATTCAGTACCAACTTGCTAACTCAAAGTAAGTAAATTTTATTTTTTATTTACTATATACTATATTATATATAATATTATTTCTCTTATTTAAATAAATAATTATTTTTTTATGTAAAGATAATTTTAACTTGAAGAAATATCTTGAATATAAAAAATTTGTGAAGTATTTTCTTATATAAGTTCAAAAATATTGAATAGAAAACCATACACTAAAGTTACAAATATTTATACAAATAAATCTCTCTAAATATATTTCTTTTGGAATTATAACAAAACATATATTTAAAAAGATATATATTTATAAAGAGCAAAATATCTAAAGCTTTTATGAGCTTGCTATGTATTAGAAAGTATATATATTTATAAAGTGTGTATTAGAAAGATTTACCTGTAGTTTCAGAATGATAACATATAAAATTGTTATAGATAAATAATCATTTGGTAAATAAAGTTATGATTATTATTTTGTATGTAATATTTATAAAAGAATATAATCTATAATATTAAATAATATTTCTAAACTATTCAAATTTATTAATGAAAAATATTGGAATCCTATTCCAAAAAATAAATCAAATACTAAAAAACTTAAATATTTAATCTATTTAATTTATGATACTAATAAGTTTATTATATGAAATAAATTAAAAACTTTGCATTTTTAATATTATAGCTCTTTAAAATATTCTAAAATATATAAAAAATTAAAGTATTTCAAACTGAAAAAGCAAAAATTAAATGAACTTGATAATAAAATAGAATTACAAAAAAGTATTTCTAAGAATATAAATAAAAACAAGAAATTTACTCAAATACAATTATACCAGTCAAATATTTACTCCAAAATTAATATTCATTTCAACTGATACAAATATCTTTATTTTTAAATATAATTCATTTTAATTTTTAAAATTAATTAAATTCATATCAAATTTTTAGAATTGATAAGTGACAATTTGTTTATTTTAAATAAAGATAAAATTATATTTATATTTTTATTAACTTCTTTTACTTATTATTATTTTTCTTTGTGTGCAAAACAGATTTTGATTTTAGTATACTACATAAAATCAAAGATATTGATTGACTTCCAAAAAAAACTATAGAAATACTTTAATATATACTTTAGACTTTATTAAATTAAGTTGACAACAATAATATTTATATTTTTTTATTAATCATGTCTTAAATTAATGCATAATAACTAAAAGCAGTTTTTACTTTATTTATTTATTTTACTTACTATAATTTATTTGTTGGATTGCTTATTAATTAATATAATAACATATTAAACTAGAAACTTTGAGTTTATATCAAAGCAAACTTTGATATTAATATATTTTCATAGAATTTAACATTACTGTTACCGAAAAATTACAATTGCTATTGCTATGTAAATGAATATCACAAATTTGAATAATTTAATGAGAATAAAGATATTATTTGTCTAATAAAAGAGAAATTACTGATATTTGTTTAAAAAAGTGCTTGATGCTATTAAAATAATAGCTCAATTACTAAAAGTACAAAACTGTGATACTATTTTCTCCACTTCGTTTTTTTTACTGATTACTACTTTTTTCTTCACTATATATTTCTGTTCTCAGTTTTATCCCCTTCATTTGCACATTTATGTTTTTTAATTTTTTTGTCATGTTGCTAGTTGCTTTGAAAATAAAAAAATGATAAAAGAAGAAAGATGACATAGCATTGAGAAAATATGTTATGTATTTATAGTCATATTTCAAAAAGATGATTTAAGATTAATATTTAACAAAATGCACAGGGATATTTTTAAAATTCATGCCACAAGTCTATATACATACATATCTATGTATATAGGTGAAGCCTTATAAGTAATTATTAATCGATACGTAAACATAAAGTTTAAATCATAATGATAAACTAAATGTATGATTTTATATATAAATTGGAACGTAATTTTTTAAATACACAGATTGCAATTTGTTTTTTATCAAAAGTTTTAATATAAATTAATTTTTCTTATTACGACTATAAAACTATATATAGAATCTTTTTTTACATTACCTAGGAAAAATTATTTTCTATCTTGATTACATTTTTACTTGGTTAACTGAACAAATTTTTAGATTAATTGATAAGTTTTTTTTTGATTAAAATGTAAATTTCGCTCTATATTATTCTTTGAATCTTAACATTAATAATCTTCTCGTGGGATTATGTGCCATTAAGATTGTACATTTAATTAAACATGGGTATTTCTAAGTCATTATATTATCATTATTATTACAGAAAAGTGCTAGATCATGTGGTCTTCAAAATTCACGTTCACGTGATCACAGAAAACTAATGTTAAAGATTATTTTATCATTTGGATTAGGATTAGAGCTGAGGATAAGATTATATGTAAATTTGCTTTGCTGACATTTTTCATTAGTATTCAAGCTAGATTTTTATATCTGTTTTCTATATTTTTCACATTTTTTATTTTCTTGTATTAAAGACCACATGATTCAGCACTGTCCATTATCGTTATTTATCAGTGATCATTATAATAGCAAGACTATCTTTTAGACAAGATTTTGAAAATTGTGAGTTTTAGACAAGTTGTCTAAAAATATAAAGAAAGAAATTTATCTAATTAATATACTAATTCACGATATTTTTAGACAAGATTCTGCATATTCTTATCTCAAGTATTTTTTCTCACGCTGTCTAATTGTCTAAAAGACAGCCTTGATAATAGATTTTTATATGATATCATAATATATCGCACATCCAATGTTGCATTTGACTAATATAGACTTGGAACGTGAATTTTAAAAATGTTCCCGCGTGTTTTATCTTGAATCACCTTTTTGAAATATGACTATAATACATGACATATTTTCTCAAAGCTATGCACCTTCCTTATTTTATCATTTTTTTATTGTTGGAGCAACTAGCAACATGGCAAAAAAATGAAAAATGGAAACAGGGATAAAACTGAGAAACAGAAATATATAGTGAAGAAAAAAGTAGTAGTCGGTAAAGACGAAGTGGAGAAAATAGTACCACCGATTCAAAAAGAGCAAAATATATTACCTTGTAAACAATGTTATTGAAAAATATTGTTTATATCACCAAAAGTTTTTGCGTTAGGTGCAAAGGCAACATGACATATCTAATGAACAAAGTCTATCGCTATTGATTGATTAATAGATATTCAATCTTCTAACAAAATCAATATTCTAACAATTAGACAATATAAACCACAGGAACTTATATAAACTTTATTTATTGAAATATATGGTTTCATAACATCATTGTTTTAATCTTTTGGTTATTCACCACGGATCTCTTAAATCCTGAAGTTCGGAAGCTTTTTTCAACACTTGAACGAGATTTTAGAATATCAAAACAGATCCATTCCGATTTGCGTAACAGAAACAAATTACCGTCAAAGGTTAGTGTGGCGGGAATATTTAGTGAGTCACTATAATATCGCGTTAAAAGCGACCGACTTAATCTTGACAAAATTCTTTGAGAGGAAGAGGTGTACAACGAGTTATCTAATATATTCCGCGGTTTGTTTATGGTTATATGCCCGGAAAACTGGATTCGTACTAGAATCAAGTTTATGCGGCTATACGAAATTAGAAGAAACCTCTTCGTGCAGTTTAAAAGATTTATAGTTATGGCATTTTTTAGTCAATATCTTATATTTTAAGAGGCAATTGGATTTCTAAGTCGCCAATATAGTACGTATGACGTTGGCTATTGCAAAACATCATTAAACATTGCTATTGTTACTGTTATAGATTTACATGTAATATCAGTCTAAATTGAATACAAAATTCCTAGCAATTAAATATGGCTCAATTCTACGGCTAAACTTACAGACAACTGTTAATAGGAATTATCAGATAACAAAAAAATAAAAATAGTCAGCATGTATTCAGAACAAAAAATCATTATCGTTATCATTTGATACATACTTTTGAGAATTCGAGCATGTGATTGAAATCGAGGTTTTCGAGGACGTCGTTGGTTGAGTGAATGTAAGGATTACTGTTGCTGAATTCAGATTCGATGGCGAAAGCTGATGGGTAACCCGCCTAATTGATTAATATTCGAGATTTAATTATTTGCAATATAATAAATCCAATCCAATTACGTAATTGGAAATTATCTGTTAACATTAACCTTTCCCCATGACGCATGGTCCGAGCATGCATATCTATATGAAAAAATTGGCGAAATCGAGCAAAATTTAATATAAATGTAATAGCATTCACGCCATTGTAAAATACAATTATATTCACCCGCATTTGGTATCAGTGTATGGGATTGCAGCATACTCTTCAATAAGAGACTTTATAAAGATAGTCAAGTCGGAGTTAACATAATCGGTAACAATGCCGAAAGTTTCGGGTTTCTTGCCAACATAACCAGTCATGTCATTCTATACGAATTATTTGGAAACGAGTCAACAACAATAATTAATAGTCCAATAAACAAAATAGAAAATATTCACCTGTAACATGGCAATAACGTCTTTTTTTTCTTTTGCATATTCTTGAGCGATGGCTTGCGAGCCAAGTAAACCAGCTTCCTCAGCCGAATACCAATGGAACTCAACCGGGCGTTCAGGTTTAAACCCATTTTCAACTAAAACTCTGAATGCTTCCAAGATAGTAACCGTGCCGCTGCCATCGTCATCAGCTGATTAAATCCAATTAAAAAATATTGTATTGTTATTTCAAATTAGAATGATAGAATACTAAATGATTACCTCCGGGAGCACGTCCAAATGATGGCATCCACATGTTTACTGAATCTTGATGTGCTGCAATAATGACAACTTCGTTTTCTTTCTGTTCGTCGGCGCCTTCAAAACGTGCAATTAGCGAGTTTTGAGCCCAAGAGTGTTCGAATTTTCTCACGGAAACGTTGACCTCATTTTCTGCTTTTTTAATTATTCCGAGTATTTGCTCATAAAGCCAGTTGGACGATTCTTTGCCAGTTCGTGAACGATAATAACGAGTGCGAAATGAGGTAAATTTCTTCAAATTTTCTTCCATATGTTTTGTAGTCAATTCTTTAATGAAGGGTTTAACTTCGTTTTGGAATTGCGGTTGGACAGGGAATTCTTATGGTAATTTTAAAAATCACGCGTTACTCTATAACGATAATGATACTATCGCTATCAATAATTTGAATTTTTAAAAGCTAAGAATGCTTACGTCTAGTTTTCGTAGTAGCTTTATAAAAGTCACCCAAATCTTGATGATCTGTGATATCCATGAACTTGGTTTTTTTCCTGTATAAATCCATAATTTCACCAACGGTCATCCATTCAGCTGGTTCATCTTCACTCAATTGGATTAAACGTAATTCATCTTCATCTTCTTCATCTGCTCCAGATATTCTAGCATCCGCATTAATTTCATCGAGTTTGGTTGCTATACTATTACTTTTAATAGCACCAAAATCATCATTAACTTTATGATGATGATTTAACGTGGCAATATGGTAATGAATTTTTTCATAAGGACGCGCTAAAATCAAAACAGGAATGGCAGAAAGAAGCAACGAGACAAGCGGAAGAAGTTTGACCATTATGTAGCTTTATTCTATCATCCATTAAAATATCAAGCACGCGTTATTGTTATTTCATTTTATTTATGATATCTACGACATGAAATAGAAAATACCTTATTTCGTAGGAATTAGACAATTAACCTTAATAGCAAAATGCTCGTTTTTAAAAAAGGATGCTGATTATGACAATAACAATAAACTCCGTTCTTTTTATGCAGTTCGTTACACCATTTAACGTTAATTGATCTTATATCTACGTATTGTTGCACACATTGAAGGCTGACAATATGGCGATGTCTATATTAACCAATAAGAGATCATAGCGATGGTAACAAAGAACTCCTACGTAATTAAAATACGCCATCATACATATTCTCTCGTCTTACCGAGTCCCTGCTTTGCTGTACCTCTAAGTAAAAATGCTCGGTGCAAATTTTTACATATCTGTCGGGTAACTCTAATCCGAATCTTATACATGTATCTCCTTTATCACGTGGGTACATGGCTCTAAATTAGGAAATTTGAAAATGTTCATTGGAATAAATCAATAAAATTAAGTACGTAATGTCGTTATACGTACATGTATATACATGTACATGTAGCTGGTTTTTGTACTCGACAAAGCGATGTTAAAAACATCGATATGAAACATCCACTTGTTTAAAGTGCTAATGGGAAAACAGTCGTATCAAAAAATATCGTTTTAGATACGGGGTTTTTCCGTTAGAATTCGTCCTCCAAAACTCTGCTCCCTACAACTACAGTCAATATATTATCATTTGGTTCATTTTTTATTGCTCTACATTTATTTCTGGAGTATATTTTTCATATTGATCTGTATTTAATGTCGTTTTGCTGATAAGATAATACATATAAATAAGCCATTAGCTTAATTTTTTAATTCACTTCAATTTTCACATATGATACGGTTTATACTAAATTATATGTTTAATGTATTTTGACTAGCTTTTAAAAATCACCTGCGCCAAAAAAGTATCCACAATACTTTGGGCACCTACTACATTTTTGAACGATTAAAAAAACAATTGAATGGTATTATAACCAATTTTGAGATGTCGCCATCTATAATTCTGTGAGCATAACCGTTCAATTATTTTTTGATAATTCAAAAATATATAATCTCAAGGACATATACGTATTTAGTTTATCTCACACAAATGTCATTTTTTCGAGCGTTGTTAATGCCGTTTTTTCTATTATTTTTTTGTCTTCGTTTTCATTAACTACATACCCACCTATCAAGATTTATCAGAAGAGGTTTTGCTAATTTACAGAGATTAATTAAACTGTCATTTTTGCGTTTTATTCGTAAAATGTAGTTATGGATATTTTTCAGGTTGAAGAATATAATAAAGAGACTAATAGCATAAAGGCCGCTTTACATTTCTCAGGCAGTCGTATAAAAAAAACAATCGTGCAGAAATCCTCCCAAAATCGGTACAAAGTAAAGATACAAACACAAAAATGGATGTAAAAATAATAACGATAAATGTCTCTTCATTTACGTATTTACTATGACCAATTCTTTACATATCGATATCAACCCTTATATATAATTTAGTTTAAAAATCAAGACCGTCAGTCCTTTTTTGTCGTCGGATAAATCGATTAACAAATTCATCAATAACTTCTCAGTATTGTTAGTACGCGACGATTGATAAATAAAGCATATCTTTTCCTTTCCTTCTTGTCAAATTCTTACTACACCTCTTTTGAAAGAGTGTAAGTGATAAAAAGATCTACCTCCTAAACCCTATTGGAATGTTCACGTCGCAAAGGTTTATTTGCTCGATTATTCTTTTCATTTGTTTTAATGCTAACTACTCTCTTCTTAGATTGTGGTGGCTGCCGAGCAAGAGTGACTCAATCGTTTCAACGACCACAAGTTCATCTTGGTACACGCAAGTGACCTATCTTCCTTCAATTGCACCACAATCAGCGCACATGCCGATTGCAATAGTAAACGAGTAGAAACAGACGAAGGACGAGCAGGCACTGAGCACAACACAAAGAAGCGCAAGGTCGGCGCAATACTGGCTCACGTTCGAAAAAAGCAGAAGGTGGAGGGATTAATGAGAAGCCTGAAGGTGCGGATGTATCTAAATACAAAGCAGAAGGACCTAATGAAGAGGTGGATATGGTGTGCCAGGTAAAACAATCTTCTTATAATTCTTTTTTTATTACTTTGAAACAATGTGCATCTTACACTTTACAGGCTTGTATACAATATGATTATTGAGGCATTTCACAATAAAGATAACTTTGCTAGTCTAACTCACTTCCGCGGCCTTTGTCAGCAACGAATTGATGATGGCAACTGAGCTTTTATGGCAAAGGTTCCATACAATGTATTTGATGAAGCAATAAAGGAGGCAATCCAATCTCGAGAACTTGGTCATTCAAGGAATCAGAAGGCACAGGCGGCAGTGCAGCAAATGTATCATTGACTCTCATTTCGCAGTCGCAAGGAGCTTCGCCAGACTATCATATAACTGTGTGAATAATCTCAAGTTCTATTCTTGCATCCTTCACCTGCACTGTTACAAGTGATGATTTTCTGCATTCTCGTCACAAGAATTTAGCCACTCAGGTGTCCACACATTTATGACTTGGTAAGTAATGGTCAAATCTTGGCTTCATACTATTTGAAAAATAGCTAATTAACTTTCATTTACTTTTTAGGTATTCACCCACACATAACTCTGGCTACATTGGCAATAGTGATCCTCAAAGTTTTGTACACCTTTGTTTCAATCTCGATAACCTCATTTCCTGGACGACCCAAGTTTCTGTTCAAAAATGAAATTCTATCCACCGGGCCAAGCGTACATTCGACAACATATCCACAATCTTACTGACGAATGCCATCATAAAATGCATTGTGGCTCATACATACCTTTGATGATTAATGGTGGCCAGATGACTTGTTGACGGCATCGTAAGATCAACAGCAAAATTGTACGTAAAATGATGACTTGGGCACACAGATGGTTTCACCAAAGGCTGATTTAAAAGTCCAAGTGCTTAATAAGGATGTCGTGGTGGTTAATGAGGCATATGCACACCCTTACAGTATATTATCGGAAATTCTAAAAATGAATTTGCCACTTTGGAACCCGATATCTCGACATCTAGTGTTTCCATTCGAACAAAGATATCACCATTAGATTCGTATACAGTCAAACCCCTCTATAGTCACACCCATTTATAGTCACACTCCTCTATAGTCACCCTATTTTGCTTTCCCATTTATATATAACCATAGTAAAAAACCCCTCTATAGTCACCAAATTTTGCTTTCCCGAGGGTGGTGACTATAGAGGGGTTTGACTGTAGTCGAATCTAATGGTGATATCTTTGTTCGAATGGAAACACTAGATGTCGAGATATCGGGCTCCAAAGTGGCAAATTCATTTTTGGAATTTCCAGTAATATACTGTAAGGGTGTGTATGAGCAAGACATGCAACAATTGTGGATGGATACATCAGAGATCAGGGGAATGAAAGGTATTTAGATGTGGCGGGTGCGAATTGGAGATAGCTAGATACCAATGACACCTGAGAGATCTTCCTTTGAATGGGACTATCCTATTGTAGGTGGTTTGTCTATTATGATCTGATTGAAGCCATCCGAACAGGCATTGTGTATTTAATATGTGACGAACAGATGGATAGTCCGTCACGATTCTGGGCACTCAAAGTATGCAAGGACATATGTTTGGTAAATTTAATTTCTAAGCATTCTTTTTAGAATCGTGACATAAATGCTGCCCGTAATATCCGCCGTCTGTAACAATGGTGAACGCTTAGAACAGTTTCGACGATCTAGAGAGGGATCAATATGATGGAAAGGAAGGACATCATCATGTCATAAGTAACCTACCCTCTACCCTCTAAAGCGTCCAAAAATAAAGTAAATGGCATAATTTTATTTTTATTGAAAAGTACATTATTAATCCTGATCCTGGTATATAATATAGGCCAAAACAGCCTTTCATTTTATCATCCAATGTTATAGCAAATTGGAAAGATAATTCCATTCTTTTATTGACATTATGAAATTTTGGAGATTTGTAAAGAAAAAATTACAACAATTATGAAAAATGTTGCAATTTTGAGGATCAGGATTGTTATCTTTGTGTTGTAAAACTTTCAAGAGGTTACTTGTGGCCGTCACTGTGTCTATAAAACTGGGAATTCGTTAGTCTGGACATTTTCTTTCGTTATCAAGAATTAATTTGTGTAACGTAATTATACTGTGATGAACGTAATTCGTGTCTAATAATAATATCAACAACAATGATAGCGATAGGTACCATAATAACAATAATGTTTGTTTTACAGATTTGTACACTTTAATTAAACATTACGATTACATTACTACATGTATCTTTCGAGTTCATTAATTTATTTTTGTCCTTGACTGACTGGTAACGGCAATGATTCTCGTAAACACACAGAAAATAATTATTTCTGTGATATTGGGATTTATTAATATTCAATTATTTTCTATTAGAATATAGAGTTCACATGGTAATCGGTTATAAATGCACAAAAACGGATTTCCCGATTTTCAAGTTTACATCCCACCCATTCTATTTCTTTTTATTACAAAATTTTATTGAGATACTAATAGATGTATTAATATATTGATATTAATATTATATGAACATGTACATGTATGACGAATTATCGTTATCATAATCTTCACAATCATTGCGATTGTATTTATGAATACAACAGATCAAAGCATTAACGATAATATCCAAAAAAAAAATACGATCAGAAGGTGAAAAAAAAGGCGACAAAGTATTTACTACTCAATCCGTCAATTTATTTCTTTTTGGTAAGTAGAATCAAACTTGTGACTTGAGAAAAGTATCTGTGTGGTGTGGTTGTAAATAGATACGTACATGTAAATGATGAGATATCCTTGTGATACTTTTTTGGATTTGAACAATGTCTTTTGAGACTGGACAAAAATTTTCGCATTTTCGTTTTTTTCGCGTGGGCATGAATTTTATGGCTGACAGATGAATGGACGATTCACGGGAAAAAAAGATAAATATTTGGAGAAATGTGAGAGAGTGTGGGAAAAGAAAACAATGAAAGAGATTAAACACTTTACTTCTTTTTGTCGTCATTGTTGTCGTCGTCGTCGTTGTGGTTTTCTCGTTATATTCTAATTAACAAAGATTGCATTTTCAATACTAGAAGTATTGGAAGTATTGGTATTGATAAGAATAATAACAGAAGACGGTGACGACAAAGACATTCACTATACTTAACATTATACATTCCTTCAAATGTCTGATGAAAATGACGAAATTGACCGAATTGCTAATACGGTAGATAATTTATTAGAAAAACTCGGCAAATACAATGATTCTTTGTTACTTTCCCAACAACAACTACGAAACCCTAATATTCAAATTGAATTTCGTGATTCAATACTTACCACAAGTGCACACTCTCAACACCAATCACCACCATTACCGCCACAACCAGAATCCGAATTCACAACAACATTCACTAATAAACTTCTCACAACAATAAAACGAAAACTTGGGATTTCAAAATCCTCTAAATCCTCACCAGAATCACTTAATACACTCCAAATAAAACAATACCGACGACATTTACACCGTCGCTATTTGCATCATTTTGGCTCTTTCGAAGCATTCTTTATCGCGTACATTAAAAAACTCGAAGAAAAATACACGAAAAGCTTACCGAGATCCAGTACGAGACCTCTTCCCATTCCAGCCCTAATTGGGAAACCGCCAGCTAAAGTAAGAGAATATTTCGACACTTATTCTTTAAATGTCTTGAAAGTGGATGCGTTTTATTGGAGTGCTGGCGGATTAATGAATCATTGGTGTGTGCGAAAGGGAGGAAAGGGATTTACGGAGGGAATTGAAAGAATGCAGTCGAGAGCAGTGAACTTTTTAATGCAGTATGATAGAGTCATGCTGTTGTCTCCACGTGGAATTGTTAGAGTTGCTCTACTACCATTAGAAGTAAGAGAACGCTTGCAACGCAAACGAAAACGAAAAAAAGGATAATTAGAAATTATCATTGGCAATTGATTAAATAAATTAATTTCCCTGGTATTAGGAAATTAATAGTTATGTTAATTAAATTTGTTGACAAACTGAAGAACAATTTATCCTACTCACTTTTGACTACTAGAACCATCCATTATAATAAAGGTTTTTATTAGCTCAGAATTGAATAGAAAAATAATTTTGAAGTTACTACGTAGACTGTAAATATAGATAATAATAGATATCAATAAATTATTGTGCATCTTGAAAAATTTCTATTGAAAATTTTATTCTATTCTATTCTATTTCTATAGATAACGATAATATATATACGTATGTATCTATTTAAATGTTCATTTCTATTAAATAATAATAAACATCCTAAACACCGAAATATCGAGCAGAAAATAATTGTTCAATTGCTTTCATACCACCCATTTCAGCAATCTGCTTGATTTTTTCATCATCTACAACTTGATTCCAGTTCTTTATGGCATATTTTAATCCTCCTTGTCGCAGAAAAGAATCGTCATGTTTCAAACCAAGCATAAACACCACATCCCAATTATCTGTGCCAGCATGTTCGACTAATAATCCAGCAGCCGCGTGTGCAAGTTTAGGTAATACACGCATTCTGGCTTCTGAATAAAGTTCGGCGAGATTGTCAATTGGAAATTCGGTGGGAATTTGTTTAGTGTACAAATAGTATAGTAGAGCGTGAAATGTGTCGAAGCTCACTCCGATAATTTGTATTTTTTTATTTTGAGTTTCCAACCATTCGCCGTCAAACATCTTGTCGAAATAAGTTGATCTAGCGGCCAATATAACTCGATGTGCATATATTGTTGACCCATCATCAAATGTAAATTGAACATCAGAGAATCTTTTATCATTAAATAGTCGTTCAAAGAATGAAAGATCCTTCTCGTGAGTCTGCATAATTATATTCGATATTTGATCCTTGTTGTTACTGTTGCTGTTGCTACTACTAGTAGTAGTAGTAGTAGTAGTAGTAGTATTTGTAGTATTAGTGCTGATAATTTCAATGTTGTTGTTGTTGTTGTTATTACCATTAATATTACTAACGTTGTTGTGGTGACTGTTATTCCAAATTGATACGCGAATCACTAAATTAACATTAGTTGAGATGTCTCCATTAGGGAAAATATTTCTCGTCTCACAAAATTTATGGTATCCCCATGACGAGCTGTCAGTTCCAAAATCAAAAGTGGTCAGTGTTTTCTTTGACGATGCCAATTCAACCAATTTCTCCGCAACATTTGATGTTGGATCTCGTTCCAATCGATAAGCTTTAATTTGATATGCGACAGTGCGCGATTTTAAATTAGCCACTTTTTCGCTGACACTTTGAAATGCTTCGAGATAACCACCAACGTGACCCCAATAAGTATTTGTACTTTGTGGCTTTAGACTTAAACGCCACATGTGAGTGTGTAATCCATCTCCTGATGCACATGAAAATACATCGCTGAAAATATATTCGCCTAATGGAGTTTGATCATGTAACACTTGATAATGTGGAATAGTCCAAGAATATTGAAATATTTGTTCTTGATTTTCTTCTTCGTCTTCTAATCTATTCTGTTGTTTATTGACTATACAATTATTATTGCTAAATGTCTTGTTGGTGAAATTATTATATTTAGTGGTGATGGTTGTATTGTTGGTTGTGGTGTTTACAACGTTACTACTACTACTACTACTCCTACCGTTACTATTGTTGTTGCTGTTCTCTTCTAATTCCATTGTTTGAATTGATGGAATCATTTTTACTTCCTCTATATATAAAAGTTTGACTCTAAATTTATAAAAAGAACGTCACCTTTACTAATTTAATAAAGTGATATCGATATATAATGGTGCAAAATATAAAAACGCCATCAAGCAAAGTGATGATCATTACTTTTGATGGTAAAGCAACGGGATGATTAGGATTATGACATGTGCTCTTGACAATTGTTTAATTGTTTAACGATATGTAACGATAATACGTAACAATAAGCATTTATTGACAAGTTCCGATCCCCTATTTTCCGACCCTGATGATCTATAGTATATACAATGATCATCATCCGGCAAAACAAGAAGTTTTATTTTTACATGCACAAAGATATCGTTATCATTATATTACGACGACGACTATTATTATTACGACGACTATTAAACCTTGCAAAAAACTACTACACTCTTACTATCTACTACTACAACTAGATTATTACAACTTTAAATATGGAAAAAACAACTGAAGAATCAATTATTATAGCTGATCAACTACACCCAACGTTTAAACTTGACCTGCGTAATTGCGCACCGCAGATTGGCAGAGAATTTTTTAAGTAATTTGCAGGTTGCGCAGATAAAAAAATCCACACTTTAATCTTAAATTCAATAATATGAGACATTGATGTTATACCATTCGCATATCGATATTGAGAAAATTTTGCGCAGATATGCGGGCGAGTGGAAATAACATAATTATGTTGTTTCCACTTGTGGTAGGTTATTCCTCCTCAGGTGTGTGTCATGAAATATGTTTTAGGCCACACTCGAAGGTGGTGCATTTTCTGTTTCACGCCACACACTTGGGACCATTATAGTCTGCATATCCTAGTGGTCAAGTGGGTGGCGTGATTCATGTTTTAGGCCACACACCAAAGATGTCACAATTTATATTTCATGACACACACCAAGGTGGCACATTCCATACATTTGGTTCACGCAGTGCCGTGGCTTGACGATCGATTTCCATTTGTCTCGTCACTTGACACCCGCTCTTTGCACGCGTTTTGCGTGACGGAGAGCGATTTCTCACTATGGCTTTCTTAGGATCGATTAAGAGAGCGGGTCGAATGCGATTGCCTTATCATTTGATTGATGATCTGAATGCGATTTGCGCGTCATTTATGGATGCCGATAGTGAGGTAAGTGACGAAAAAAAGTTGGTTAACTTCAACTATATATGTGAGAAGGTGGGTGTATGCTTGGTTTGGTCGCGTATTGGTTTAGATATACTTAACCGAGATGCGTTAAGATAAGGTATACATTCGCAGACCCACCCGATGTGAGAATATATGCTATCAGATACGCTATTTTGGGATATTCGGTGCACTATGTACATGTAGATGTCTCGTATGAAAAATGATTAGACCAAATTTTCGTGTAACATATACGATGATCTATATGAAATACATATATTTTTAACAAAAATTTAATAACTTTATTTATAATTTTTTAGTTTTTTAAAAAGCTCTATTATATTAAAATATAGTATTTGTTAAATATCTAAGCAAAATTTCTAAACAAGTTAATATATAAATTATTGAGGAGATACAATTTGAAATATGATAATTTTATATAAAAAGACTATGAAAAATTGACATATTTCAAATTGTATCTTCTTAGAAATTTTGCTCAGATATTTAACAAATACTATATTTTAATATAATAGAGAGCTTTATTTAAAAAGAATTTACTAATTCCCTCCCCCAAGTTTTAATTAATTGAGAATATTAAAGATTAATTTTAGCATTAGAATTAAGAGTTAGGATTAGAACTGAAAAAAAGATTATATATAAAATTGTCTTCCAGATATTTTTATTAGTGTTTCAAGCCAGATTTAAGCATTTATTTTCTGTATTTTTCACATTATTTATCCTTTTTAATTTTCTTGTATCAGATTAATCAAAAAATTATGAATTTTTATTGATTATTTAGAAGATTCAGAATGCAATCAACAAATTAACAATAAAAAATTACTTGTATCCAAACAGAACTTGAAAAGAAAATTAGTAAATACTATTATAAATAAAATATTTCATAATATAGTTATTTTATTGAAATTATTTACTTTTATTATATTTAATACATTAACAAATTTCTAATACAGTTAGAATTGATTGTTAACTATATTTATTAACAATCAATTACCAACACTTCTACTAATTATTATTAATTATTAATTAAACAATAATAATTATTTTTTATTATCATTTATAAATAATAAAAATCATTTTTTGTTATTTTCTATTATTTACAAATAATTTTTATTATAATAAAAAATAATTATTATTAATTAATTAACAATTAATAATAATTAGTGAGAATATTGATAAATATGAGTAATAATTAAAGATAACATAGCAACTGTTGCAATATGATGACAAATAAAGCATCATCTAGTTACAAATAGTTGCAACTTATAAAATTTTGAAGTTGCGATATGTTATAATAGGTGACAAATAAGTATCACATACTTGTTATATCATTTCTAGTAATAATTAATTTTTAACTATATTAAAAATATGAATAATAGTAAAAAAATAACTTGTTAAATATTATTATTTTATCTTTTATTTTTACTTTATATTATTATTTTGCTTATTATTTTAACTTTTATTTTATCTTTTTATAATTATTTATCTTTATTTTATCTTATTTTATCTTTATTTTATCTTATTTTATCTTATTTTATCTTTTAATTATTTTAACTTTATCTTTTATTTCTATTTTATCTTTTTAATTAATTATTTTATTTCTTAAATAATTATTATTATTTGAAATTATATTTTTAAAAAATATATAAATAAAGATACTATCTGAATCTTAATTCAATATATTACAAATAAAAATAAAATCTTCTCAATAAAATTTTTATTCAAATAATATTCATTTCTTTCACTTTCTATTATATATTAAAGCTTACATACAAATAATTTTGAATTATATTGTGTTAAACAAAATGCTAATAGCTTTATATTATATTATACTAAACAATTTATTATTATTAATTTTAAATTTTAAATCATATTGTACTAAACAAATTACTATTATTAAATTATATCATATTTTACTAAACAAATTGTTGTTATTAAAATTATTAATTTTGAATATTAAGTATTTTGATTTTTGTTATTTTTTATTTTGATATTTCTTATTTATAAAAAACAAAATAAAAGAGTCTTTGTTATTATTATTACTAATTATATTATCTTAGCTCTGAAAAACTTTATGCAAATACAGAAAATTAGTCTTTTAAACTCTTTATTATTTATTTTTTTATACTTTTACTTTTTTCTTTTTGATTTTTACTTTTTTATAACTCTCTTATATTATTATTATTATTTTAAATTATTATAATTTTCATAAAAATTAGCATAAAACTTAGATATTTTTCTTTTTTTAATATTTTTTTATTAGTTTAATACTTCTTCTAATTTAAATTCAAGTTTATAAACTAATTTAATAATTAGTAAACAAATTTATAAATATATACTTGATATTAAATAATATTAAGTATTAGTTTTGATTTAATATATTTAATATAATTTATTATATATATTATAATTATAATTATAATAACTAAACAAAATTATACTTCAAATAATTTATTATTATTTTGAATTAAATTTAATTTTATATATTTTGTTTATTGTTACTGTTATTTTTATTTTCTTTTTCTTTTATTTTATCAATTCAAATAGTTTACTACTTATCTTTTTATTTAGTATCAATTAAACTAAATTAATTAATAAATCTCTTTTCTCAAAATTATACTATAATTAATTCAAATTAAAGATAGTATAACTAAAGATACTTACCTAAACTCTTTTAAAAAAATATTATTATAAGTTTAACAGATTATATACTAATTGTTAATTAGAATTTTGATATAATTTTAGTTATAACAGGTTTTAAAACTTGTTAGAATTTCAGTGAGCTATTTACTAATAGTTTATTATAATTTTAACAGAATTTTAGTAGTTATTAAGAGATTTCAAGCAATCTTAGATACAATAAGTATATATAATATTTATTTATTATCTATTATAATATATTACAACTTCAAAGTTACAATTAGTTATAACTAGATAATACTTTATTTGTTATTATATTGCAATAGTTACTATAATATCTTTAATTCAAATTAATATTATAAATAAACTTATATATTAATTATTAATGAACTCTTATAATATATTTATTTATATATCTTTTTAATTATTTTTCATTAATTATAATTTCTCTTGAACTATAATTTAATATTATTATATACTAATAATATATATATATATATATAATATATGTTAATTAATTCAGAAACTGATAAACTATTTCTTATAATTATTATAATTCAATAAAAATTTTAATTATTTTATTAAATAAGTAAATTATTTTATTAAATAAATAATTATTTTGAAAATTAAATTAAATTTGAATAATAATAACAAATTTTTTTATTTCACTCAAAAAATAATTTGAAGTATATTTTTATTTTTGAATTATTTTTTTATTCTATTATATTTATTAATTGCTAAGAAATTATTTTTTAATATTAGTAATTGTTTTATTCCAAATATTTTAAATATCACATTTTTTATATTAGTATATATTCTATTTTAATAATTTTTTATCCATCAAAAAAGTTATAAAATTAAGTAATTTATATTAATTAAAGCAATATTAATTTAATAAACTTATTGAACTCATCTGTTTTTTGTGAAAATTTTTAATAACTTATAATAAAAATTGATTTAGATTTCTTTTAGTAAATATTATTATATTATAAACTTTAATCAAATATTATACTGGATTATTCATACATAATATTATTGGTTAAAAATATCTTATATTTTATTGAAAGAATCTAATCATGTAGAACAAGCAAATAAATAAGTAAATGAATAAATAAATAAGTAAATAAATAAGTGAACAAGCAAATAAATAAGTAATATTGAATCAATAGAATTTAAGTAATATAGCAAATATAAATTCATATAGTTAATAAATTATATTTTGAATTTATATATATTGTAGTTATTAGAATTAAATATGAACAAGTTTTTTTAGATAGTAATTCTCAATTATCACATCTTATTAGTCATCATATAGATTTAATTGTTCAAAAAATAAAATTTGCACTTTATGTAAAATAAGTAGTCAAGTGCAAACTCCTCTCTACATCTCTTTGACAAAGTATTTTTGTTTCTTGTATAATTACTTTAGTACTGTTGCTATAAGTATTATACAAATCTTGAATTAATATTATAATAACTTAAGCAAAATTATCAGAAGTATTATAAAAATTATTATCTTAATACTAGATTATCTGAATATATTTGTAACAAAATCTATTAAATATTATATTAAATAAAGAAATTATTATAATTTATAAATCTGTCTTTGAGATTATATTGCTAATAATATATTACTCATAAATTTATCTTCAATTTTGTATTGCTAATAATATATTATTCACCTTTAATCTTGTATTACTAATAATACAAATATTATAATCTCTATAACTTTGACTTTGAGATTTTGAGAACTCTTTTTAGCAGTTTAGATTATTGCATTTAAAAGAATACAATTATTACCAATCTTTAAGTAATTTTATCACTAGTACTTTTAGTATTTATTTATATTTAGTCTAATAGTCATAAAGTATTATTATTACTTTAAATTATTATTAAGACATTGAAAGTTTCTCTTTGAATATTCCTTAAATTTTTATAAATATTTTTAAGTATTTTAATAATATAATTAAATAAATATTTATATTAAGAACTTTAGATAAAATTCCTTATTTAATTATATAATTATTATATATTATTATTTAATTTTTTATAAAAAGATATATTTATTTATATTGCTTAAATTAATATTGTCATCAATTCAATATCGATAATAATTTAATATAAGAATATGTAAACAAAAGACGCAGTTATGATAAAAGTCAGTCATAATGATATT